CATATTTGACAGCATAAAATATGTATAAGCATATAAGACACACTCCCATTTAAGCAAGACATATTCCGGAAAAAAAGTTTTTAGTGTATCTAAACATGCAATATTTAAAGCAAGCTATTAGTACATGACAAGACATCCCAAAAACAACCTAGCTGAATTCATTGACCACATAGAAATTAACCCAGCCATCACTCGCTTATGGCCACATCACATTGAAACACCAGTTCCTGTACAATCATCAAAGTTAAGCAACATCGAGCTTAGTTAGTACCGAGATGGATGACTGCTTGAGAATACCAGGTACTATAAGCTCCGATGATGGGTGATTTAATTGATAATGGCTTGGAATTGATAATCAGAGAGTTGAATTCCAATTCCTGTTGGGCTTGTTATATTCATTTACAAGGAAATAGCCTTAGAAAAACTATGACTTCACCTCTCTTCCCCCCAGCTATGGATTAATTAGTAAGATTTGTATCACTAAAACCATTATTATCTCAAAAAAATTTACAATCTGAAAGTATTTTCTGAGTTTAAATAACCTACAAAGGCTTGATAAGCCATAGAAAATGAATCAATCAATCAATTAATCAACCAATTACTGGTCATTTTTTTTTTGTTGCCTTGTAGGACAAACATTTTTGCCTATTGCTTTAATGTTGTATTTCTAAAGATTCTAAACTTGGCTTATTGAAATACTTAACCTGACATTTTTATTCAGTTATATGTAGGATGAAATGTTTGTTTTTTAAAATTTGTTTTGGCATTTATATGGGCAGAGTTTAACCATTTCTGGCCACTGTCTATATACTTATTGCCAAGTCTTACAGATAATTTTATAATAGGAACCCCAGTCTTATTAAGGAAAAAATAGTAGAGCAGATCTTTTCTGTTGTTATCAGCACAGTTTTGAATTCAGAGTTGTCCTTGTTATAGACAAGTGTATGGTTGCAAGAAAGAAATATGACAACAGCAGAAATAGATTTACATGATTTATTTCAATAGGAACGTGTGGGTTTGGGACAGTTACCTTGTGGTATAGTTCATAAGCCGGCTGCCAATCTGGGTTGATCTATCATAGTAGTTCTCACTGGTTGGCGTGGCGCTCCTCCTGCTGACTGCTGCTGACTGACCATGACAGATCTCTTCCCTGGACTCCTGTTGGCTGCTCTTGTACTTCCCCGTGTGATCCCCTTTTATGGCGTTTTTTATGGCTTAACAGGCATGAAAAATGCCGCGAGTATAATTAGGAGGGAAGCATTTTTATTGGTCGAGAAATAGGAACACTTTATTATATTATTTTATTTTTCGAATGTGCCGGGCCTATGTGTAAACAACAATAATGGTCATTTTGTGACGGGGCCTTGTCCTGTTCACATCCAGGTCTCGCTCTTGAGTATGTTAGTTTATTTGCCTGCAAATCAGCCGAGATATGTCTTATTTTATTCTATAACATCCTTTTCTGAGTCTAGCTAAAAATCACAGTTCTCTTTGCTTTACTGAGGCAGGAAAGAGATGGATTCTTGCTTTTTCCCAGATTATTAGTATCAAGTGAATGCAACAGCATCAGTTGGAATTTTAATTCAACCTACTGATTCCATTTTCTGCACTGATAATACTTATACTGTCTGCACATCCATAGTATAAAATAAAGAAATTTGTGTTAGGACCTGACACAAGGTTGGTTTAATATGGAGTGCTGTATATACAGGACAGGAACAAAAATTGCCCAAACTCTACTCTTCTTTAAGTGCAGCAAGGAAAGTGCTGTCACAGGGTTGGAATCCCAAGAACTATGTATCCCTCATAGTTTAAAGAGGAGAACAGATACTACATTTTGATCTGGTACTTACTTGTCTCCCCACAGTGATGGGATGTGCTACAAGGTTGGTTTAATGTGGCATAACCATACATGTATATATGGGTAAAGAAGAAAAAGTGCCCATGCAATGTCGGTATCCATCAACCTTCCCACTTTGTGCAATGAAGGAGATGCTGCCACAGTTTTGGAATCCCTGGGCCCAAGCTTACCATGTAACTTTAAAAGAAAAGGATAGATACTACACTGATTCTAGCTGAAAGGCTAAAGAATGAAACAATTTTTCTGTATGTTGTTTATCAACCTAAAATGAACAGATATTACAGTTTGATAGCAGGCTTAAAAAGGGATTAGACAGTGTTTACAAACAGACACTATGAGACATATACAAAAAATACTCACAAGAATAGAGCTGCACACACTTAACTGCCAATGTCACAAAACATAAACAGATGATATCTACCTGACCACAACAAAGTATTTAGCTACCAACCAATTCATGATAATTTTCTAGAGTTAGGTAAGTTTTTAAATAACAGAATTGAGAGAAAATCCAAGACACAGAAGAAAATCAAATGATTTTCTTGAAAATTGAGGATTATTGTGTTTTCCTTCATATTTTATTAGTCCAGTGGTAATCGTTTATCTTGCATACTAAGATCTGCCCTATTCTTACTGCTTGGACATTTAGATAGTCTATGCTTTAGATATGCTAATTAGGCAGTTATTTACATATAACTACAATTATGATAATTTTTCAAGACAAACAGTATAGAATTCAAAATACTGAAAAATCCTCCATGTTTCCTTCATTCTCAAAAATTTTCTGATGAATCTGAAATAAAAGTAGCAAAACAAGTCAACATAAAGTTTTCCTATTTATTCTTTATTAATTACAGTGTTTGAAATAACAAAGACAAATGAATAAGATTCTTCTATTTTTTCATCTCTTCCATAGATATTTTTATACTATTTTAAAAAGTGTATCTGATAAAATCAAATCAAATGACACACTTTAATTGGGGCTGAGTAATCTTGCAAATTCCATGTATGTAAAACTATGATAAAAAAAAAAAAATCAGCCTTTGTAAAAGTGATTTTTTTCCAACAATCAAAGTATAAACACTTACTTTTTTTGTCTGAATTTCTGGTATGAGGAGTTATCATTATTTACACTATTTATATTTAAACTATTGTTTTTATCACAATGTTTCGGCCATTGTGCCTTTTGGCCATCTTCAGTTGTATATCAATCTGGGTAATCTACAGGGATTTCTGAACAGAACCCTTTATTTAATCTGTGAGGGTAGACAGTTCTTGTTTCACTTATGTATAGGGATATCATCTAATTCTTATTTTATTTATTACTGTTCAGATATTGCTTGTCCATTTCCACTGAGTACACACTGTCCAAGCCAGGGACTGAACTCACAACCATTCAGTCAGTTATGTGCCATGTGTGATAGATGCTTAGGCGATCATGTATCTTTCGATACATGACTGATGAGGCAGACTTTTTTCTTGCAGTAGGTTGCCATTTCTTTCTGCAGTAGACCAACTGCCATCTAAGGCTATAGAACCTGGTCTGTCCTGCTATTTACCCATAGCTGGGGGGAGAAGAAGAGGATTCTAACCTTTCCCAAGTAAGTGAATGTAATGGATTAGAATGAAATTCGAACTCGGCTCTCTGATTCCTCAACCACTATGTCACCAAATTCACAAACCAATGCTTTTACCCACTAGACCATGTAGAATAGTTAAGTAAAAGGTTCATTTCAGAATTCCCTGTACATTATGCAGATCACTATACACCTGAGGAAGGCTGGAGGGCACAATGGCTGAAACATTGTGATAAAAACAACAAAGACGAGGACAATTTTTTAAGCAAATTTTGATCAGCAAGTAAATGTGAAAAACATGATTTTTGGTTAACATGTTAAATGAAAATAGAGTCTGGATAAAATTTGACTATTTCCATAAAAGTGATATCTGTTCATATCTTTTTCTCTTTTCTTTTTCTCTTAATTTCAGAAAAATCTTTGAATTGGAATGGTGAAATATATCAACTGACATCAATCCAAACCCTAATCCTGTAGCCATGTTGCTGCCTCTGTGTGTGCTGCTATCTGTCCTGCATGCATATCTATGCATTGATCTCACTTATTATGTGGAAGAAGGCAAAAATTCAGGAGTTTTGGTTGGAGACATTGCTGCTGACTCACATCTACTGGACAGCGTTCCACACCAAGACCGTGGCCTTATCACTTTCAGTCAGCTCCAGCAGGATACAACCAGCGGTTCTCCTCTGTTCCGTGTTTCTAAAAATGGTAAGCTCTACACCATCCAAAGTTTAGATACAGAATCTCTTTGTTCGCGTCACATGGACTGTTTCAAAATGGTCGACATAGCAGTGAGAAAGGCAAAATCATTCATGAAGATTTTAGAGGTGAAGGTGATCATACAGGATGTTAATGATCACCAACCAGAGTTCCCCAGCAAACAGGTAAACATACAGTTTGAAGAGGATGATCGAAAAGGAGTTAGCCGATCAATCCCAAATGCAGTCGACAGAGATGTGGGCATTATTAATTCCCAGATCACTTACCAGTTGAAGAAAAACATGGATGAACCATTTGCCCTTTCTGTTTCCAAAAGTGTTGATGGGACATCCAAACTTGGTATCAAATTAGAAGATGAGTTGGACAGAGAAACTAAAGATTCCTACAGGCTTCAGCTAATTGCCAAAGATGGTGGATCCCCTCCAAAGCAAGATGTCTTGCATATTTACATCTCTGTGACAGATGTTAATGATAACATTCCTCAGTTCACTCACAAAGTCTACAATGTCTCCATCAGAAAAGAGCAGGACAACAGCTTGCCTATTGTCACATTAACGGCAAAAGACATGGATTCAGAAAAGAATGGGAGAGTGTCATACTATTTCAGTTCTCAAACATCTGGCTTGACAAAATCTGTCTTTGAACTAAACGAGGTAACTGGTGAGGTTTTCTTAAGCAAGTCGTTCAATTTCACATCTGATAAAAAGCAAACACACAAACTGTTTATCGAGGCTCGAGATGGGGGCAGTCCATCTTTGAGCTCAATTGCAATGGTCCTTGTGAACGTTATCAACCAGAAAAACAACCCTCCTGTTATTGATGTAAATTTCTTCTCTGAATCGTCAGATAAAACAGCTATAATATCTGAGGATGTTGAAGTAGGGAGCTTTATTGCCTATGTGAAAGTGACCGACCGTGATGTGGGGCAAAATGGGGAAGTGAGTTGTGACCTTCGTCATGACAAGTTCCAACTCCAAACTATGGGCAAGAAAAAGTATAAGATAATCCTTAAGAACTCAGTGGACAGAGAAACAGAGGACCAACATGAAGTGACTGTCACTTGCCAAGACAAAGGGTCTCCTCCTTTGCACAGTGACTTCAAGTTTTCTATACAAGTATTAGACACTAACGATGTACAGCCACAGTTCTCTAAAGAGACATACAAATTTAGAATCTATGAAAACCAAAAATCTAAAATTTCTGTTGGTTACATCAATGCCACAGATACAGATTTGGGACCTGGGGGGAAGCTCACTTATTCTCTTTTAACCAAAAGCCGGCATTTCTTGCCATTCCAAATCACAGAAAGTGGACTTATCTCAACCATTGACTCATTGGATCATGAATTACAAGACGTTTACAAATTCCAAGTTCTTGTAAAAGACAATGGTAAACCATCTCTGCAAAATACTGTAAATGTCATTGTTGAAGTTAGAGATGAGAATGACAACGCTCCCTATTTTACGTTCCCCAGTGTCAACCCTTTCACAATGGATGTTGTCTACTACCCCCACCATACTAATAACATTACAGTCTTAAAGGCTTCTGACAGTGACAGTCGAGAGAATGCTTTTCTCAAATATGAAATTACTGCAGGTAACGAGAAGCAACTTTTTACCATTAACCACTACACTGGTCTTTTGTCTTTTACCCGAGTGGTTACTCACCAAGACGCTGGCTCTTACGAGCTGGAGTTTGTGGTCAAGGATAGTGGCAATCCAGTTTTGTCTGCTACGACAACCATGTTTATGACATTAACAGTAAGCAACAAGACATCTGAGATGTCCAATGCTGTACATATAAAGACAAACGATAAGATACATCTTAATTTGGTAGTTATTATCACATTGATAGCTGTGACAATATCTGTAATTATTACTGCAACCATGTCAATTTGCATACTTCGGTGTTGTTACCGAAGAAATGCCCCACCAGAAGATGAAGTAAATACACCTCACAGGTGTATCAGTGAGCAGAGACACTTAATGTGCCCTTCCCTCCATGCAACATCTTGGCCCGATGTCCCAGGAGCCATAACTACCACCCAGGGGATTGGAAGCACTCACCTGACAGATCAAAGAAGAGATTCCCATCCAGGATCAGGTATATCCAGCCAACAGAAAGGTTTGAGTTCATCGCTGAAACCAAGGGCATCAAGCGAAAACACACATCAGGTAAATAAGAATACACACATAACTATATTTTTTGCTTTTTTAAAAAATTTTACTTTATATTTAACTCTTACCTTCCCGTGATATATAATCTTTATGCATCCACCATGTTTACAAATTAGAGAAGCTTTTTATTAAAGCAGCATTCAATTTTACATAAACATTCATGTTATCTAACTGACAGAGTGGAAAAAATTCTAAGTAACATGTTTCATCCTCAGAAAAGACTTCATCAGACTAACGTAATGTTCTTATTGATAGTATTATATATGTGCATGAGGGTGGTGATAAATATAAAGCTAGGGGAATCACTGAAGGGAATGCTAAATTTTAAATTTTTTAATCTTAAAATTTTCATGTCTACACATGCTGTTTAGCTGATCTTATTCACTCCTAATATTGGCAGATTGCTTAATATCAGAGTAGATAAATTTTATATTAGACCGTAACCTTTTAAAATGAGTTTCAATCAAACCCATATCAGACACTGTATGAATTCAAAAGGAGCTTTTCAGCAATGGAACTGGCAAGAAATATTTGTTCTGTTTGAAAAAAATGAATCTTTAACTGTCTGGACATGCTAAATATTGTTCGGTCAGTTTCAACTGAGAAATTTTTCTCTTAAAAATTCCTCCTGATCTGGATTATCAAGTTTTGTCAAAATTGAACATTTGGAAACCATATTTTACAGTATATTTAACTCTTATCTTTCTGTGATACATGATGTCTATGCATTCATCATGGTGACAAATTAATAAAGCTTTTAGTTAAAATTTGTTTGGATCATTTTTTTTTTTGTTAAAAACTGACAGAGCAGCATTCAGTTTTACATAACCATTCATATTAGCTAACTAACTGACAGAGTGGAAAAAATTCTAAGTAACATATTTCATCCTCAAAAAAGACTTCATTAGACTAAAGTAATTTTCTTATTGATGACATTATATATATACCAGCAGTATAACCTGTCTTCGACTAAGTCTTTCATTACTGGGAATTTTTGCCGTTCAATTGGAGCAGTTTAAAGTCAGCCCACCCAAAAATCATAATTAGTAATAACATTTGGGTGCAGCTGAGGCACATCCCCAATTCAGGGGGTTAACAATTTGAAGCGGGGTGGGGTCCCTGAAAAGGGAACTGTATAATAATAAATAATATTATTGTAATAATTTAAACTATTTATTTTTATTAAAATTTTTATGAAAGATATGTATCCAAGAATAGATAGTAAATAGTAAAACGTTGCTGAGAGTTATAATGGACAAGAAGTAGTGGAGAGCCATTGTTGCCAACAATTTGGACTCAAAACCGGCACTGAAGAATTATCTATCAAACAAAAAATTTCATCAAAATCGGATGAAAACTATGGAAATGCAAAAACAACATCTGATCACACACCAATATACATACACACACACACATTTTGAGAATTATAGATATAGATATATGAGGGGTAGCGGGAGAAATAAACATAAAATTCAGTGATAGCTTCTGTTTATATCCTCCTCTACATCATATAATAATTGTGTTTGTTCTTCCGTTTGTTAGTTTGCATGACCTTTACACCTCATAAATAATGGACTGTTCTGTTTTGATTGCATGGAAAGTCATATAAGAGACACTACTTTGTTTCAATGAAAATAGAAAGAAAGAAAGTTTAACATCTCCCAGTACTTCATAAATAATGTACTATTCCATTTTGATCATGTGAGATGACAAAAGGCATATCAAAGATGCTATTTGGAATCCGTGAGAAAATGAAAGGGAAACTAGAAGTGTTTAACATCTGTTTCAGTGAATGGGAAAAGTTCTCAATTTCAAATCTTTTTATTTGTACCTCCTTACTTCTTAAAATAACAACCAACATTCATATTTATGATTGTTATTGCAATATTTTGTTAAAGTTGTTAAACTCAAATGTTTAACAATGGGATAATGGAATTTCTATGAATATTTTATTGTCATAGACCTTTGCCATCAGCTTATTCAATCATTAACTGAAGACTTAAGATTCATCAGAAATTTAAAATCAGAAAACCATGAGAACATTATAACAATGTTTAACCTTTATGCCCACAAAAAATTGGTGTGTTAAATGGACAGTTGACATTGCTATTACTGTATACTACTTTGACTTTGGTAATGTTTATTTACAAGATTATAAAAATATGTGAATTGAGTACAATGCAATATTCATTATTTACCTTTTATAAAGGAATAAATTTGAAAAGAAATATTTTATTCAAAAATTTTTAAAAATTACAAAATTATCAAAATATTTAAATTGACTACAATTCAATATTTATTATTTTCCATTTTATAAATAACTATGAAAATGAGTTTTTTTTATTCAATCTAATAAATAGTGTTTAACATCTTTGTTGTCATTTCTCAGGAATAAAGAAATTACAAACATCAATTTTCATATGTTTGCATTTTATTAAAATTCTAATAATTGTTTTTTAAAAACAATAAATATTAGCAAGAGAGTCAAAAGTGCATACAATAATATCAGTGTCAAAGGAATAACGTTCTTTTTGACAAAATAATTTTTGCAGGTATCAAGGTTAAAAACTGCCATCTTTAGTCTGAAATCATTTTAAATGATGAAAAATGTTGTATAATTTTTTTTCCACTTTGTCATTCATTTGCCTAATATTGTTCTGATATATAGAAATTTATATAGCATGTTCTCCTATCAACATCCATCTAATTATTTTACCTTATTTCTGATAATTAAGATGAGTGTAGCAATGTTAGATATTCCTTTACAGGAAGGTAAGAGTTAACTCATCTCAGTTTTCATGTAACTTAAGAATCAAATATATCTTCTCACTGAAAAGATGTTCTGGGGTGGAATAACCATTAAAGTATTAAAAGCTATTTAACTATTTGTTTGTTAATCAAACATTGATTTCATACAAGCATATTAATGTCACACTTATCATCCTCCTTTTATATTTGTTTTACACATAGACATAATCAATAGAAATTATGTTCTTGATGCATTGTGTCAACCAGACCCCTCACAACACAAAAAAACTTTTTGAAGAGTCTTTGCAGTGTAAATGATGGCAGGTTTCTGGAAGTCTACAATCTTGGTCTCAGTTCTCATTCCAGTTTTCCTTAAGTGTTCTTTCAAGTTTCTAGGTGGTGTTCCAAGTGCACCCATTACTACAGGAATTACTGAAACACTCATATAGCTTTTTCAACTCTCTAGCCAGATCCTGGTATTTTTCACTCTTTTCAGTTTCTTTGGAGTCCACTCTTGCATGATTATTCTTCTTTCACCCTTAACCCCAGAAGGAGTCATTAAAGTGCTGATGTGCTGAACTATCCATTATAATTTTCCATCTGTCATGGTTATGTGCCAGAGCCTGGGTCTCTGTGAATTGTTTCTTGGTGTGCTCATCTTGTAGCATGTCTTGGCTGTTTTAACCTGGCAGAGCCAATCCCTCTTCAGGTATCTTGCATGAGATGGAACAGCAAAATTAATAATTTAAAACTTGCTACTCTCCTTATCTATAACAATATGGTCAGGTCTTCATGTTTCAATAACATGATCGATCTGGATCAAGAAATCCCATCATATCTTGTGATTTGTCAGAACTGAGAAATCTTCTTCTTTTGATTTGATGTTAGATACAATTACTTACCAAATCTTGAAACATAAGATCTGAGAAGTTTTTTTTGTTACCTAGGAAGCTACCGAAAGATTTTTTCTAAGTATGTTACCAGTCCTCATTAATGTTTTTATTTGATATCCTCTCTGATTTTTGAATGTTTCAGCAGGATGATGATTGTCATATCTGAACTCTTACCTGCAGCTTAAAGGCACAACACTTTCCTCCTCAGCACATGAACAGTTCCAAGCAGTACTTCCATCTGTGCACACCCAATGATATCAAGTATCCCCTAGGAATCTTGCAAAACAGAAAGATTCCTTGAAATAGTCCAAAGTGTTCCAATCACAAAAAGACAATTTGAGTTGCTGTTTGGTAGATTTCGGCAATTTACCCTGCCTATACCTATGTATTTTTGCCTGCTATGCTTTTAAGGTGTTCATATCTGAAGATACTGCCTTGTTCATCAGGTGCTATTCATGGCTACTCTTGTGCTGAAATGTGATGTCAAGTCAAGATTTTTGTCAGTCAAGATGACTGTATCTCACATGAGCTTCACTTGCTCATTCTTGTCAATTTATATTAGTGAATGCTTATACCATTTTTCTGGCCCATAATTCTTTCATGGTTCCCAATGAGTTATACATTTTCATTAGTTTTTGCACACAGACTGTACAAGGGTAAATAAGCTGTTCTCTCCATTGGATATTTGATCAAATTTGTTCTTAAAGCCTATCTTTGCTCTTCACATATAATCCTTTTGGTTTCTTTCTTTATGAAAATCCTTTCCTAAACCATCTCTATGATTCTGGATCTACCATCTTATGGGTTTCTTGTTCAAAAGTCAATGCAAAGCTTTTTCCTTCCATGCATTGACTTTCTTGTCATAGATTCTCTTTCCAAAATCTGCCAACCTTTCTGACGCCGCAATGACTTTTTCATTTAGTGCACCTTTTAACATCCAGTGCCGTTCTTTAAGTAATCATACAAGAAATTAAATTCTGATGTTTCACAATCTTCTACTCCTATCAAACTTCTGCTCTCTTTTTGGGGTAGACAGAGCAAAATCACATTACTTCTGGGATGTAAGAACCTGTTCATCATTATTATCTTCCTAATTTTCTAGGTCCTCTTTGGTTATTAATGTTAGGTCCTTTTTATTATTATTATTATGCTATATTCTGAGCTAATAGGAATATATATTTGAAAAACAAGGTGGATAAAATAATTAAAGGTTTATTGTAATAACCAGTCCAAAAAGAAATAAGGTAACATTTATGCGGACAATCGTCACAAGTCAATCCAGTAGTAAGGGCTACTATTGGAAGGTTGGTAGTTCTTGCATAAGTTTGAGTCATACTCAACAAATCCCAGCTAGACTACATAGTTCATTGACTTACAGATACTTATAGATAGTTACTTCCTATAGTGTAGTTACTCATGGGTTGACAGATTATTGCATTACATCACCTCCCCCGAGCTGAAATCTTCCTCTAGAAAATTTAGCTTTCTAATACTTTTTTTGGTTCTAGACTTAATTGCACTGTGGGTTTTCTTTTCCTTGTACTCTTTTAAGGTGAATAACATCTTGATTCTATGAGCAAAACTGATGTAGGAGATGTATCAATGTGTTCTGGTATGTTAGTGCATGGTGTTATTTCAAACGTGTTGTACAGGACACCCATTGGAGTTTCATCTTCATCCTGTTGAACAATTTTAGAGTATCTTGGTCTTAAATGGTTTACATGCCTTTTGCATACACATCTTTTTCCTTTCACCATATAGATTACTCTTCCAATTCTATTTGAAATAATTCCATCCTCCCAAAAACATTTTCCACCTCAGTAGTTCCTGAAGAAAACTTTATCACCAGGCGTATACTTCTTTGCATAGAAATTCTCTTCGTTATATATTTTCTTTTTTGGACAAGGCAACAATCTGTCGAATGTTGATCTTATCTTTCTTGCAAACATCAGTTCAGCATATTATTATTATTATTTTCTTTTGATTTGCTGTTTGAAAATATCATTTGCTGAGTCCTTTACCTGAGACCATGGAGGTTTTATTTTCTAACAAAGTTATTGGAAGAGTTTTTCTAAGTATATTATCAGTACTTACTAATGCAATTATTATTATTGAATAAAAGAGTGGCACACCAACAAAATGATGCTAAGGTGCAAATATACAAAACCCAATATACCCATCATGACACCCAATCTAATAAGTGTATATCAGGCACATGCATCACAGTCAAATGTACACAATATGGGGACAGGTTTTGATAACCATACCTTGGGACTTAATTAGAAATACTTTCAGGTCATTCGGATTAAATGTTTACCCAAGTATCTACTCCAAAGTTGCCTTGGCTGACACATCATTATAATAAAAATAAAACAAACCTCTCAACACCTGGCCAGATAATCTTCCACTACTCCTGCTCATGAACAGAGATGAACAGCTTGTCAGACCTTAGGAGACATGCTCAATTGGTTAAGTTCAGGCAACTGACATGCAAATCTGTGACATATCTTAATTCATCATGAAAAAACATCTACATGTTAATTATTATTATTATCCTCCACCTCCTCTTCCTCCTCCCCCAAATTAATAATCAAATAATCCTTTTTATATTTATAAGTTGTCTCATACAGCCTTTGAACCCAGTATATATATAATGAAAGAGATAAAAACATTTATGTATATGAATCAAACAATAGCAAAACAATTCTAATTAAAAATACATAACTGATTTTAAAATACTAGAATGCAAAATATATATATATATTTAAATCATTTTGGTTCAGCAATTTACATTTAATATAAATCTAAATATATTTAAATTTATATTTAAAAATATCAATTTTTAAATATAAAGCTTTATTTAAAAAAATTATGATTGATTTCTTCATGTTTCACAATAGACTTTTTCAGCTTAAGTTAGTTCCAAAATTATAACAGAGATCAGTTTTATATATATATATATATATATATATATATATATATATATATCTGAGCAAATATCAACATTATTTGATTTAGTATCTGTCTCCTCTCTCTTTACACGCACACACACACATATAAAGTTGGGTATGTGAATACCAACAGAAAGGAAAAGCATGTGCGAAAGATAGTGGGAGGAAGTAAAGTGGGAGAAAGATAGTGGGAGGAAGTAAAATGGGAGAAAGATAGTGAGAGGAAGTAAAGTGGGAGAAAGATAGTGGGAGGAAGTAAAATGAGAGAAAGATAGTGGGAGGAAGTAAAGTGGGAGAAAGATAGCGGGAGGAAGTAAAGTGGGAGAAAGATAGTGAGAGGAAGTAAAGTGGGAGAAAGATAGTGGGAGGAAGTAAAATGAGAGAAAGATAACGAGAGGGAGTAAAGTGGGAGAAAGATAGTGGGAGGAAGTAAAGTGAGAGAAAGATAGTGAGAGGAAGTAAAGTGGGAGAAAGATAGTGAGAGGAAGTAAAATGAGAGAAAGATAGTGGGAGGAAGTAAAGTGGGAGAAAGATAGTGGGAGGAAGTAAAGTGGGAGAAAGATAGTGAGAGGAACTAAAGTGGGAGAAAGATAGTGGGAGGAAGTAAAGTGAGAGAAAGATAGTGAGAGGAAGTAAAATGAGAGAAAGATAGTGGGAGGAAGTAAAATGAGAGAAAGATAGTGGGAGGAAGTAAAGTGGGAGAAAGATAGTGGGAGGAAGTAAAGTGAGAGAAAGATAGTGAGAGGAACTAAAGTGGGAGAAAGATAGTGGGAGGAAGTAAAGTGAGAGAAAGATAGTGAGAGGAAGTAAAGTGGGAGAAAGATAGTGGGAGGAAGTAAAGTGGGAAAAAGATAGTGGGAGGAAGTAAAATGAGAGAAAGATAGTGGGAGGAAGTAAAGTGAGAGAAAGATAACGAGAGGAAGTAAAGTATTGATGCAAAGAGGTTTAGAAAGAAAAAAGAGAAAGTGAAAAGTAAAACAAATGAGAAACAAAAATAGAGAGTGCGAGAAAGAGAAGTAGAAAGTAAGACATAGATAAAAATGAGTGGCACGCAAAACAAAAGTTAGAAATGAAAAGTAAAAGAAATGTGGAGAAGGAAAAACTTAGAGACTGAGAGATAGAAAAAAAGAGAGACACTGAAAAACTTGGAAAGTGTTTAAAGAAATAGATAGAGGTTCACACATTGAGAAGAGGAGAATGGAAAAACATATAAGAAATAAAACATGGGACTGAGAGAGTTATAAACAGAAAAAAAGACAAAAAGCAAAAAATGAGAGATGGAAAGAGATTGAAAAGAAAACAGTGAGACATCGATGAAATGAGAGTGAGCAAGTGAGAAAAATAAAAACAAACATTTTTTCTCAGTTATAATGTAATACTTCTGAGTTAAACCTCTTGCTTTGGAAGAGAGGAACAGACCAAAAGAGGGAGAAAATGAAAGAGATAGAGGGAGAGTGATAGAGAGAGTATAAAAAAATGCTTTTAGTGGCCTTCTAAAATGACTATGATGTTAATAAGTGCTACTAATCTTTCATTCATGCCAAGTCTTTCATCAGTGAGGCCTTCTGGTCCTAACAGCTATGATTAGCATTACTATTACTACTACTACTACTACTACTACTACTACTACTCATAAAACAAATTATTATTAATAATAAAAATAATGGCACTGATCTCAGGAATTGCACTTTGTCCTCTCACCACATTTCCCCATCTCTCCTGAAATTCAGCTTCTGTTAGCACTGTCCATTTATTTAGTTGAGCAATTTTATCACTCCGAATTTTTCACTTTGATTTTGGAGTTTCTCACTTGCCAGATGAAAATAGCATTTGAGAAGGAGGAGGAACCCACACTCTCCACATAAACATGGACAAAAATAATCTTATATACTGATACAGAAATGCATAAGCCAATACAGAAGGACATATTTATTTGTAGCTGAGTCCCCATAGAAAAATGCACACACACTAAACTTAATTAAGAGCAGTACAAAGGTCAAGGTGGAAATCAGAGATAAAGATTGTGTAGTGCTAGTCTCACAAATAAAGAAGAATTGCCTACCTTCAGAACAATTCTACCTTCAGAACTGCTTGTTTGCTGATGTAATGGAATAACCTGTCACCTCCACGAATGACTACACTATAGGTAGTAACTACCTATAAGTATCTGTAAGTCAACAGACTACAGAGTCTAGCTGGGATCTGTTGAGTATGACTCAGAATTACATGAGAACTACAGACCTTCCAATAATAGCACTAACACCTGGATTGACTTGCAACAACCTTATGCATAACTGTTACCTTTATTCTTATTGTACTGCTTTTTTACAATAAACCTTTACTTACTTTATCCACCTTGTTTTTCAAATATATATTCCTATTAGCATGGAATATAACATTTACCTTCAGAACAAGCATTATAACTTGTACCTTGGCTCAAAAACTGATAACTAATGTTGATAGGAAATATGCAACTATCCTATTGACCAAGCTCATTTTTGTATGTGTGTATTTATAGATAGATAGATAGATAGATAGATAGTCTAAGTGTTCTTGTAGTGGATACATATGTTTCAGTAGACACCCTATGATTAAAAACAGTGTTAATTATATCTATCAGCCTGCACTTAATAAAATAAAGAAAAATGTGCTTTTTGGGTTCATACCTGCATCTGCCTTTGTAGAGGAAACCATCATTTTATCTGGCATACTTTAAACTGCTCAGCCACAGAGAGCATGTCAGATCAGATGGTGGTTTCTTCTAAAGAAGAAGATACAGGCTCAAACCCTGCCAGAGAGCAGATTTTTCTTTATTAAGTCTCTTGAATGCACAGGACATGTTGCTAAGATAGAAAGAGTGTGCATTGCATGACACAGACAATTGACCACATGTGCAAGTTGTTCAGTAAAACTTTATTGAACCCTCATCCTTCATTCTTGACAGGAGAATCTATCCATCCACACACACACACACACACACACACACACACACACACACACACACACATATATATATATATATATATATATATATATTATGTGTGCTTGGCTGAGTGGTTAGAATGCTTGATTTTTGATCATGAGATTTGAATCACTTCATGATCAATTTGCTGGAAGATAACTTCTTGATGTTATTGGCCTAGCATAGTTTTCAAGCAATTTCCAAAGTGCCTGAAAAGTAAACCATGGGTTGACTCAAGCTTTGTGAGTGAAAATGGGTAGATGGAATTGTTCAGAGGCTGTAGACAGTTGTGATAGCACAAAGTTACAAATCATCAGTACTGAGAGATGGAGCATACTGACCTTGTTCATGTCAGATGATGCACTCAATTCCAGAAACTATGCTGAGGAGACCAAGTTACAGTCCAAGACCCAGTCTGTCTTGCTATTTACACACACAGAGGTAACAACTGTTGTAAAGTAATCAGAAGTAATCTCCCTTGTTTTATGATTACCTCCCTTTGGAGAGCTCTTTCGTTTGTAGAGGACTACAATAGTCACTATACTTGTCTCAATTATTCTAAGCAGAATAAAGCTTTCTTAAGCCTCCTCTTGCTCTCTTTTGTTATTACAACAATATAATGCTATAAGGCTGTTTTTCATCACATGATACAGGATAACTTCATATAATTGAATGAAGTGTGAATGGCACCATGTGCCAAGATATACTGAGCAAGAATCTCTTTAATTCAGTGAAGTCTTTAAAAATAAAATTCAATTGGGCATTTCAGTTAGACAACAGTCCTAAACAACCTGCCGATATAACCAAACAGTGGTTTGAAACATAAGAAAACCAGCCTATTGAAGTAGCAGAGTCAGTTCTCTAACTTAAGCCTGACTTAGAATTTATGTTCATGCTTTTTAGCCTAGCAATTTGAATGAACTGGAGATCAGCAGTTCAAAATACCACCAAAAAAGTGTTTGAAGCTGATACCTATACTTATAGCAAGTGATTGGAGGCTGTTGTTACAAAAAAGGTTATTCCATAAAGTGTAAAGGTCTGCTTGATTATACTTTGTTTAGAATATTAAATACATTTTTGCCTCAACTTTTCTTTTTAAATATATTTTTTATAACTTTGTATAAATATATTTGTTGAAATTTTACTTATATTTACTATTGTAAACATGAAATCTATATGCGGTTTAATTTTGAGGTAAATGCTTACTATAATATATACTATAAACTGTTGGAAAAATATGCGTTTTCACCATCGTATGCATGCATTCATATAAAGATACACACTGAGAGGGAGAGAAAGAGATTATTGATATCATATGTATAACGTGTGTCTCTGTGTTTTCTATGTACATGTGTCCAAATGTGATAGTTAGCAACCTTACACATGTATATGCTTTTATATCATGACTCAAAATGCTTCAGCACAATTAAGACCAGACTTTGGGCTTCCATCTCACCAGATTGATGGAATTAACTGTTGCCATGTTAATTATTGCTCTTATTGCTAGGATATAGCAGTTAGAACATCAATTGTGTGTTCTCAGAAAATATTTTGTTGACTTAAGTTTGTGGAAGATGAGGGTAAGTTGTCACATAGATTGCTGTATACAGTTTGGTGGTTATAAAATCCTACTGTATTGATGGCCAACTCAGAAAGAAAATTACAGGACCTCTTAAATAGAATGATAAAAGAAAGCAACTGCAAGAAAACATAAAGTATAGTCATAAGCAAGCAAAAAAGCCCAAGATATGCATTACAAATTACAAATGTAAACATCAAACATTTTAAATTTCTGGATGGAAAATGTGACACTGAGATCTGAAAATGCATTATACTAGTGAAAGAGGTATTTAAAAAGCTAAGCAAGGTACTGAAAAATGGAAAAATTTTGTTAGCAATCCAACACTCTTTTCTTTCTTTCGAACAAAATTTTTCCATTTCTCAGTACCTTGCTTAGCTTTTGAAATACTTCTTTCGCTAGTCCAATGCATTTTCAGATCTCAGTGTCACATTTTCCATACAAAAGGATGAATATCACATAGCAATCCAACACTCTTTTCTTTGTTTCCATGTGATATTCATCCTTTTGTATGGCAGTAAATTTTGGACAATCTCCCCATAGATGTGTTAAGAAAACTAGAGGCATCAGAAATATGGTTCTACAGAAGAATATTTCAATTCCGTGTAAGGAAGTCTTGAAGAAAATGGCAACAGAAAGAACACTTATAATCAAAATCAAGAAAAGGTAGCTGAAATTACTTGGACATATAATGTGGAAAGAGGGCTTGGAAAACTTAACCTTCACGGAACATAATGAGATCAAGAGAGATAGGGAAAGGCAGTGAGCCATATGACCAACAAGCTTGTGTGAATGGATGGCAAAATGGTGGGTGGAAGCCTTAGTAAAGGAGAAAAAACTGGTAAGAGCTACATGAGATGTGATGTCGTGGGGAGCTATGATTGCCAGTGTCATAAAGAGATGCGGTACATGGAAGAAGATAAACCAGTGCTAGCATGTAGACAAGCATATATATATATAAATCATGACATATACAGGGTGCGGCAGAAATACCTCCCACATAATGGTAAGACATTAGTGGCAATGGTGTCTTCAGCTAGCTCATGTTTTACCATTATGTGGTGGGTATTTCTTAGAGGTATTTCTTGGAGCTATACATAGTAGGTATTTCTGCTGCATCACGTATAACTCTTACTACCGTATAGGGTATTTAAAAACAACAACAATGCAATCAAAAGCAAAAGTGCTAAGAAGTTGAATGAAGTCAGTAAGGCTTTTCATCAGGTGCCAGGAATTTAAAATTAAAGTTAAGTATCCCAACATCTTCAGCATTTCTCTTGATGTTTAGTCATTTTCATTCTCTTTTCTCCTACATATTTATGATTACATAGATAAAAACATTATTTAGTCAAAAGTCCTTTTAAAGGACAAAATGGATTGCATCAAATTTTTTCCATTTTGTCATTCAATTACCCACCTTTAGTCTGATATATAGACATTATATATTGTTTTCTCCATACATATCATCAGCATATGCACACACATCAGTGCCAAGTAATAAATCTATTATCTGCCACAGTTATATTTGATTTCTGTGTTTAATGGTGAGGAAATGGTCCAACATTTTTTTCTTTATGGCGGCAAATGTTGGACAATTTCCTCAAAGATGAAGAAGAGACTCAAGGCAACAAAGATGTGGTGCTACAGAAGGATGCTAAGGATATCAAGGACTGAGCACGTGAGCAACGATGAGGACTTAGGATGCTAACAAGGAGGAGGCTTATACTTAACATCAGGAAGAGGCAGCTGAAGTTTCTGGGGAACATAATG